CCGCCCCAACCCACGCAGGTTGAAACGCAGCTAGGTACGCTCTTCAATGCTGGCCTAAAACGGTCACGGAATTTGTCCGTGACATCCTCCCCCACTCAAAATTAGGCACGTCCTCGTGCCAAGGGAGGTCGACTTGCCCTTGGACCGTCCTTGCTTTACGCCCCACTTCAACCCACTTCTGTGGCTCTGTCTAGCGAAGCTTACTCCGATACACATACTAGGTGCCTGAGGTCTACGCCATTGCTTCGACACCGTCGATGCCTAGGACTGTGCTATTGCTTCGACATAGGATGCTGGAACGATGCCTAGGACTGTGCCATTGCTTCGACATCGCCCGAAGATGTGGTGCCTAGGACTCTACCATTGCTTTGACACCACGAGGAGACAAGACACAGAGCGATACTTTTGACTCTTCCCTAGAGTGCGTGTTTAGTCGAGTGGACACCCAAACGTGCAGCAAGTCTGCTCTGATACCACTCTATCACGGGCCTAGAGTCTCGAGCAGCACTGCGCCCGTACGGCGCCCCGGGAGCCCTCCCTGCGCCCGTACGGCGCCCCGGGAGCCCTCCCTCTTGGCTCCGAGGCAAGCCTTGCCATACCGTACCACACTGGTTTCGCCCTGCCATGGGCTCATCAGGGGAGCGACCCAGCTCCCGACCAGTTGTGCCCCGCGGCACATACCACGCCTGCACGCAGGCTTTGCATGGGGTAAGTACCACTAGGGTGGAACAACGCCTTAATTCGCTAAGCCGCCCCAACCCACGCAGGTTGAAACACAGCTAGGTACGCTCTTCAATTCTGGCCTAACACGGTCACAGAATTTGTCCGTGACAATGAGCTTCCTTTCGATATTGAAGCTCTAGTTTTGAACAATGTAAGCTTATTCTCACAATAATAATATGGTTTCTCTTAAAAAAAAAAAAAAATCCACATGTCATCTAATATTTTTTTTCCTCAATTAAAAAAGATTAGCTTTTTACTAAAAGTAAAGTTGAATAGGCTTAAAATCCATAATAAAACATCAGGGGGCACGGTGGAAAGACTCGAGATAATAATTTATGCATTTTCCTTTATTATTTGTAAAAGATTTCAATCATCATATAATATATGTGAGGGTACTTTATTCTTTTTAAAGGAATATTCTAGATGTTTTAGAGGCAAATCATCACTAATGCTCCATCCGTTCTATTTTAATAATAATAAATATATATATTTTACCATATTCTATTTTAAGTACTCGTTTAAGATTGAGACTATTAATTACTCCGTCTCATTTTATTTGATTGTTATTCTTTTTTTAGATATTCCAAAATATTTATAAGGTTTCTAAATTTAGATATATAAATAATTATTTTTCCTATAATAACTTTAATAATTGTTCATTGAATGAATGATTTTTATTAGTGTCTTAAAGAGTTAAGAGTAAAAAATGATAAAATAATTTTTATTAACTAAATTCTTAATATACATGATTTGTCAAAACATGCAAATAAAATGGAACGAAAAGAGTATTTTTTTTTTCAATTTTATCCATATTTATTAGATGAATTTATTTTTATATTTACATTAAAGAAGGACAATTTCAATAGTTTTTGTCACGACCCGTTTCCGTAGGCCGGACCGGCACTAGAGCCTAGGTAAACTTAAGGCCCCCGAGGCCCGTAGTAAGCCTAAATTATTCAATCTGTCTACATGATTCTCCTAATTTCAACAAAACAGTAAGCCCATATCATGATTCTCTCTAATTTCAACCAAAAACAGTAAGCCCATATGACTTAAGATTATAAGTTTTCTAAAATTTTTAAACATCTGGCCCAATAATCAAATAATACCATAATATTTAACCAAGGGCCTATTCAAATAACTCAAATCACAAATAAGGCTTACTAGTTTTACCTACACTTAATTAACACAATAATTAATTTATAGCGTAGTGCTAACAATAAGGCCCAATTTAAATACACAACCCTATAACTGCGGAGTCCAAAAAAAATCTGATAACAGAATAATTTATACATTCAAAATTAAATATCAACAATATAAAGTTTACATTTGTAACTCTGCGGAGAAGATTTGCAGAGCTTCAGTTGAATCAGCTGCTTCCTAGTACCTGGGAGGTTTTTTGGGCGGGGGGTGAGTTTTGCAATTCAGCGAATAATAATAAATAATATACATCACAAACAGTCACACAAATGCACCCTAGAATACTGAATGTACACACAACAGTCAATCATATGGCATCATATCAGCACCCACAAACAATATCACACATATCACCTCAAAATAATCCACTATCAACGTGGAAATTAGTCAGTGGAGTCACCGAAACCCGATGATCCGTCTCCCACATGGTCATCGCCTCTCACATGTGGCACCAGGAAGCCGATCCCCTATCTGGCTGACCGGTCCTAATCCTCACTTGACAGCCCTCTCATTGTTTTTTCCATTTCTCCTCTCATTATTTTTCCATTCTCTCTATTCCCAACAGGAGGTAACCCGGTCGTCTCCATCAAATCTAGATCATCAAGCGCTCACAACAGGAGGCCACCCTGCGGGCTGCGATCAAATCAGGTGCGCCCAATAAAGAAACCAACCTGTGGTTTTCCATATCACACAGATCATAGCAGTAGGTGCACACGGGGCGCCGATCTTCCATTTACCCGGCCAAATTTCATATCATATTCAGGATCCATATCACATATACCATTCTCACAAACCCATGGTGACCCACTTCATCCCAATTCCACACAACACACAAAACAAATCACAGTGTTAGTCACAGCACAAAATAATAAGGACATTTATTCATTCATAATACACCAATTCCATCCAAATGCGGCAATATATAAATTAAATTATAGGTGATCGTAACATAATATATATGATTTAAAATACTTTTAATATATTGTAAAAATATGTAAATAAAAAAAAATATTTAAATGTTTATAAATAAATGATAGCAAATGCCAGTGTTTTTATATACATTATTTATTATTACTCACAGCAGTGATGGGAGGAACGAAGCTCTAGCTTGGATTCTGTCCGAGAGAGCACTTAGATGGACCGGGCGATCTATAAAAATGTAAGGAAGAATTTACAAAAGAAATAAACTCTATCAGACAAAAATATTCCTTTACCCTGTCTATATTTTTATTTTATATTTCTAAATTTTTCTACGTAATTTAATCTCAATATTTAATTTCTTTTTCCTATAAAATAAATTTTTATTTCTCTATCTAACTTTATTTCATTTATTTTCTTCTAAAAATTCTTATTTTATTTTCTTACCAAATTTATTTTGTTTTCTACCGAAATTATTTTATTTTTTCTCTACCGAAAATTTTCCTAGGCCAGCATCTTCCCTAAAAATTGCCGACTATCTACCTGTTAAAAATATCAACAATTTCACAAATATGCAATCCATACGGGCCCATCGCTCGCGCAATTAATCATAACATCATTTTCCCATCCTCCTTCCAATCTCACCGAAAATTTCCGGGCAGCATCTCCTAAAAATTGGACTATCACCTGTTTAAAATATCAACCAATTTCACAAATAATTCAATGCCATACGGCCCGATCCGTCGGGGCCAAATTAATCAAAACAACATTTTTCCCAATTCCTCCTCAATCTCAAATCACCATACAATCCAAATTATACATTTTACAAATAACGATTATATTTAAAAAAACTACCTTACATAAATCAATAACTAAAATTAATAAACTGTTAACTACTCACAATTATCAAATTAAATTAACCAAAATTACTGTAACTACCAAAATAATTAAAATTAATTTAATAACTTAATATTACTGACAATTAAACTAAAGTCGACTAAAATTATTAAAATTTAACTAACTAAACTAAATCCAAATTAACTAAATAAATTAATAAATAATCAAGAACGCCGGCATAACTTAACTAAATAACTTATTACTTACAAAACAATTAATTTCATTCACAAAACAAAAATTATACCCTAATATATTATATATGTTTTGCCGGAATTTCGATTAACCGGGAAAATGGAGGCTGGTAGCCGGAGGTCGGACTGACAGTGGCGGAGAGAGGCGGAGATTGGCGCATTCGGTGGTTCTAGCAGAGGCGGAGGCGCGGCTGGCGTGCGGCTGCGCATGGAAGAAATAGGAAGTGGCGCGGACTGGCCTGGCAGCAAGGGCCGACTGTGGGCGCGGCGGAGGAGCTGCGGGACGTGCTGGCGAGCGTTGGAGGCCGTTGGCGAACTGCAATGCCGCGCGGTGGTGCGTCGACCGACCCATTTTGCTGGAGATGGCGCGATCCGGTGGTCTAGCAGAGGGCGGAGGCGCGGCTGGCGGTGCGGCTGCGATGGAAGAAGTGGCGCGACTGGCCTGGCAGAGGGCCGACTGTGGCGCGCGGAGGAGCTGCGGGACGTGCTGGCGAGCGTTGGAGGCCGTGCGACTGCAACTGGCGCGCGGTGGTGCTCGACCGACATTGCTGGAGCTGCTGGAGTTGCTGGCAGTGACGCAGACCCAGTTGCAGGGAAGAAAGAAAGAAAGAAAGAAAGAAAGGAGAAGAAGAAGAAGAAGAAGAAGAAGAAGAGAAGAGGGAGGAGGTGGCGGCTCAGGTGGTTTGCCGGCGACTGAAAAAAAAAACGCAGAGACGGGGGAAGGAGAATGGAGCCAGCGCTGGAAATATGAAGAAAAAGGGAAAATTCTAGAAGGGTTTGGGTGGTTTGGTTCGATTCAATTTTTTGGTTCGGTTCAAATCATGGTTTTTCATTGATTTTTGAATTTTTAACTGGTTTTTCGGTTCGGTTTCTCACGGTGTTCGCATTAAAATATTGAAATAAATTTCCAGGCTATCGGTTTATTAAATTTAATTGGATAATTTTTAAAAATAAAAATTCGGATTGTTTCATATGTTTTCAAAAATCAATAAATTTTAATTATTTTCTTAATATTTGTAAAAAGAGCAAACTGATCAATTAAAAAAGAGTTGTTTATAAAAATTACGACCGTTTTTTTTTTTCAATATATAATTAGAAATACTATCTTCTGGACAAAATACTGTACATGTGATTAGTTTGATACACGATGGACTCATACACCAACGAAGCTCACATGTGTTCGTGTCTGCTGCAAATTTTCACTAAACCCATTAGGAATATATTGATATGTTGCTACACATACAAGTTTCTAGTACTATTCTTGGAGTATTTCTAAGACGATAGGATCAGTTTAGAGTTCGTCCAAGAATTGGTACCGTTCTAAAGCAATTATGAAACTAGGTTGAAATCAGAAATCAGAAAAGAGAAAGAGAAACCTCAATTTCTCTTGCAAGATTTAAGTTCTTCAATCAAAGAATCAACATCCTTATAAGATGATCCACCTTCTTCAACAGCTCTATTAGCTTTCATTCCAAGCTCTTTCGCTCTTCTTCTCATCTCTGCTGCCTCTTCACTTACATCCATTAGCCTTTTCACCGCTGTCTCCACCTTTTCTCTCCCTACTGCTGCCGATGGTTTTGTGTTCCATGACACCCACTCCATGCTTCCTACTTTTACACCAATTTTCAACACATCAACTATCAGTTTCTCATTCGAAAATTGCTCTGCTGTAATTGGAAATGTTACCATTGGCACTCCAGCACTCACACCTTCCAAAACTGAATTCCATCCACAATGAGTCGTAAATCCTCCTACAGCCTTATGCTCTAGTATCAACAATTGTGGTGCCCAACCTTTTATGATTAGGCCCTTTTGGGATTCTCTAATTCTATCTTCAAATCCACTAGGAAGCCAATTTTCTGGGTTTTCTCCTTCTTCCCCTGTGGATTTGAAGATTTTTCCAACCACCCAAATGAATGGGTGGTTGGAAGCTTCAAGACCATAGGCAATCTCAAGGAGTTGTTCAGGGGTTAACCGAGCTAAGCTCCCAAAACTAATGTAAATGACCGAGTTGGGTTCTTTACTATCAAGCCAGCTCAAGATGCTTAGCTCATCAATGGTGGTTTTTTTGCCTCTCTCAGCTTTATCTTCCACATTTCTGTTACACAACGAAACTGGTCCTACAAGCCACGCCTTCATCCCCAATTCATTTCTGAAATATTCAACATAAGCTGGCTCCAATTCATAGAAACTATTAACTAAAACTCCAAAAGTATGCTCCATAAATTTTGGCTTATGCCCACTTTGCTGCTGTCTATGAAAGAATGGTAATTGAGATCTAGTCAATTCAATCCTATCAGGAAGACCTGGAACAATAAAAGGCTCCAGATCAGAATTTACCTTCTCATGAGGCTTATAACGTTCCAAATTTTCATTGACGCAACGAGAAAAGCACGCATTTCCAGTGAAGGTAACTCTTGGAATACTAAGATTGTCAATAGTATGACCACACCACCGATGAAACATGTCATAAACAACACAGTCCGGTCTGTATTTCAGTAAAAGATTTCGGAGAGGTTCTTGCAGCATAGAAGTATCAGTAAAAGGAGCTGCAGACATATCAGTATCTGCTATGTCAACATTGTCAGGTAAAACGAGGGTCCGGATAGAAATTGGGCGACCGGAGTTCTGTTCACGGTCAATGGATTTTTGAAAAGAAAGAGCGTTCTTTGGAGTTGTGATGATAGTGGCTCTAGCACCATGAGAGGCAAAGACTCTGGCCATGTCTATCATGGGGATTTGATGGCCTCCACCAACAAATGGGAAGAAGAATATTTCAACTGGAGGAGAGTTTGAGTCCATCAATGGATGCAAAAGAAAGGAATTTAGATCAAGAAATGGGTATTGGTAAAGAGAAAGAAAAGCTTGAGAATTCTCGCACAAGAGTACTTGAAGTTCCGAATCCAAAGTAGATGATGTAAATGAGAAACTAAATAAATAAAAAACTTCAAATATAAAAAACCAAAAAAGATGCGTAAGCAAGTATGTCAGCTATCACCAGTAGCTGTCTTATCTTTTTCCCACAGGCATTAGATTATTGAACTTTCATATTTGGCGACGGTCGGTGGGCTTTTGTCATATGCTGAAGAATAATGAGCAATGGCATGTGCCAAGTGCCAACAGCTGAATGTGCGTGGCAAAAAAACAAAAAAGAGTGCTTACTTTCATATTCTTTTTAATTTTTTTTATTGATTAAAATATAAAGTATAAGGAATTTCTTCTTTTTAGGATTTATTATATCTTTTCTACATTAATATCATCCTGATAAAAAGTTATGCTTCTGGATCGTTTTCTATATAATATCATTTATTATATAACAGTAACAAACCATCCCTCAATAGCCATACTGCGATTCAACTATAAGAGTGACTGTATGCGATACTAAGCACAGTTTAATAAGTTCCAAACAATGAAGCAGCTAAATGGAAATTATTCAAATCCTTAAAAATGGATATATTTTGGTCAATTCACATATCTGTATACCTTTTTATAGCTATAATTGATAATCATACTAAGAAAGCTGCTATGATACATACAGAAACCTGGCATCATACTCCTGTCTGCTGCCAAGTCAAATTGGATCCTATATCTATATAATCTCTGACAAAATTTACCAACCTATGTATAATTAAATTCAAACCAGAACTCACGAGGAGATAATGGTACAAAATGATGCACACTAGAGAGTCAGAGGCTCTTAGTGCAGAAGATTTGATTGATCGCTTTGCCTCCAAAGTAACTTGAATATCTAATTGGAGAACCCCCATATCGAAATAAAGGATCGCAACATGAACATGAGAGCTAAAAATTTATCAAGATCGAAATTCATCTTGATCTTTCACTGGCATTTTTTATTTGCAAGGCAGCTGTAACAACCGTTTCCCGTGTAATTATTCCAACCTTTGGCATTGAAAGACAAAGATCAATTATATACTACTACAAGGAAATTGCGAGTGCGATGAAATAGAGAAAATTCTGTGGCTCTTACCAATTTGCCATCACCATCTACCACTGGAAGTTGATGATATTTTGTGTCGAGCAGCAACCTATGATTAGAAAGGTTTGGTTAAGGCATTATTTCCATATGCAAGGAACAATGAAGTAATTTAGGATGCATTATATGCACAAATCAGAATGCTCTCAAATATTAAATTTACAGAAGTTTCAGATAAATCTTGAAGGATGTTTTATCTCTGAAAATGTAGAAACAATAGCTTGAAGAAAAGGCGCAAATTCTAAATTATCATAAACAGAAAAATACTATTGAAAGCATAAAATAGAATCTTTGATACTGTGAATTTAAACTGAGATTTCCTTGAAACACAGACAGATAAACTAATGTTGGAAACTTAATGATCATAAAAACAATAGTAGTGCATAATACCTAGCAGCATCCTCTAGATGGGTGGTTTCATTAACAACAAGCGGAGAAGGTGTCATCAAATCACCTACAACTTTCCCATTGTTCTTAGTAAGTAGTTTCTGCATCTCATTGAAAGCCTGCAATATTTTATCCATAATTAGAGGTGTTACTATGAAACAATTTTACATAAAAATTCATAGAAGAGGACATCCATTGCAAGGATTAAAAAGGGAATAGAGAAAGGGGGGAAAAGGGAAAAAAACAGAGAAAGCACACATCACTACCCTAGACTCACAGAATAGTTACATCCAATTCGAGTACAATTCTATAGTCCATCACTCAGCAAAATTCTCTCAACAGTCACCACCACACTGGAAGAACCAAAAGAGGTTGATGTCTCGCTAGCACTACAGTTAAGTTACGCAAGGCCTTTTTTGGTAAAGAAAAAAAAAAAAGGAGCCTTTATTTCCATACCAAGACCATAATATATAAGTTTGAAGTTCAGTTGGAGAAACGAAGGAAGCTCATTTTCAGAAGGGTATTGAAGCTATCAGCTCCTAGGTGACAATTTTTCAGTAGCAAACATGGAATAGAATGCAGAGAAAATTACTGAATGGAAAGGACCAACTGTAATGTTGGATACATGTTAATAGCTATTCTTACCATCTTAATCAAAGAAGCAGCCTTAGTTTTAGTAATCCTAGGTGCTAACTAAAGACTACCTCCTGATTCCTTTCCCTAAAATGCATACGATATGTATATCATGTATACATATATACCAGTGTATGTGGTTTGTACAAATTAGGTGCAGAGTAAATCTGTAACTTCATTGCATATAAATGGTGTAAACTGTAAATTTTTCACACACCAAACGTTCCATCTATCTGAATATTTTTAATATGTGACCAATGAGCAAATACAAAAATATATGAACATGCACGTGTGCACACATAGGTATCTTGCTTCAAAATGAAAAATCCAACATCCAGAATATTGAAAAGGATAGTCGATTCGTACTTTCCATGAACTATCAGCATCAGGAAACAAGCTAGAGCTGCTCTGATTGTCACCTAATCCATTAAAGATAGAAATTAGTTGATGTTTGACCTCCAAATTTTCAGAACTACAACAGTAAATTAATATAACAAAATTGGGTGCACTTGTTTATTGATAGCAAAGTATCAAAATAAGAATGAATATTTAACAAATGAAAGCTAGAAGCATCATTATTCCAACAAATCAATTCATCTCAGCTATCCATTATGACATCAATCTCAAAGTCCCTAAGGGTACATTTGATTCATAATTGGAATGGGTTGCAATTTTTGAAATAAGATTCTACTCTCTTATGGTATATACAAAATCTAAGTTTTAGGATATTTTATATCTAAATAACTTGGATTAAGATATAAATGGCACCCATTTTAAGTATAATTTTTAAGATTACCACTTGGTTTTTTTATTTACATAAAAAATTAGAATAGTATTATTAGATCTAAACATCCTTTTTTATTCTTATCTGATCTACAAAGCAAACCATACATGTCATAAAATCTAGCCAATTTTCTTCAATTCTATTCATAAGCCCCTCAAAACTTCAAAAATTTGAACATTTTATTAATCATTCGTACAATTTTCAAATTGAATTCCTTAGCAAACTAAAAACTGAACATGCATATCAACTTGTTGTATAGTCCATCATTCTCTATCCAATTTATGAATTACCTACCAAAGCTCAAAAAAATAGAGTATTAGTAAGGAATGCCCAAAGGAAAATCATATTGTCAATTTTTCCTTTTTCGACAAGGTCAAACATTGAGAGTTTAATTTGAGGATGAAAATTCATAAAACATCCCCTAAAACAAACTAGACAAAGAAAAACGTCAAAAATGAGAACTGGAAGAGGAAGAATAAAGTACCTGATATGGTGTTGAGTGCTAACAAATCATAATCTGAAACAACACCAACCTGCAACAAGTATCAACCTTAAAATTAACCACTGAAGCAATTCCTCTCCAAATAAATTTTTAGCTGATTAAGAAAATTGCAAATAGAGGTATCAACGGTGATTTATCGATAGAAGTTTTAAAATGCATTATTCATGATTAAAGATTGCTAAATAAAATACGAAAAACAACAGATGTATCTTATTTCAAAGATGAATATGACAAAAAGCTGAACAGGGGATTTGTTGTTCTAAAACCATTTTAAAGCTGAGTAGGTCATCAATTTAATAACAATAACTTATGGAAGCATCCGTATGGAGGGGGGAAAAGAGAAAGGGATTGTTATACAATGAAGCATGAAAGACAAGCTTCCAAAATGCTTGAAAGATTGGGATATTAACTAAGCTTCATTTTCCAAATTTAAAATATTCCATGAAGTAATACCAAAATTTCAAAAACCATCCAAAAGAATTTTTAGAAAATCAGGAAAATAAAAAATCGACCGAAATAGCTGATTAGTCCAGATAATTACTAATTAAAACAGAATAATAGAAATAGAATTCTTGGGATATGAATGAAATTACCAATATCCAATCATCATCAACCACTGGAATACCAGATATTTTCTTCTCCACAATAGCTTCTAATGCTACATTTCAAATACAATGAGCCAATCAATGAAGAAAAACTTAAAAAGAGTAAACAATTCCTATAATATATACTAATCCAAGAAAAAGAAATACCTTCATCAATAGTTGTGGTCGTTTTTGCTACATACAAATCCTCCTTTCTAGTCATAAAATTACCAACCGTGCAAATCCCATTTCTCGGCTACAGAAAAAACAAACAAATTCAAATTACGGAAACAATGGAAATAAGTAATGTCCAGAGTCAGTTTTGTTAGTTACTTGGCCGTTATTGGTTACAGTTGAGGACGCTAAAGCGACGATGCGGTGAGATGCAGCAAATTGTCGGTAGGAGAAGAAGAGACGACGTCGTTTAGAAATGGAAGTTGCAGAAAAGAGAGGAAGAGGCGGTGAAAAGCGGTGATAATTAAGGAGGCAGTGAGGCAGAGAATGCATTGTAGAAGCGGTTAAAGACATGGACGCCATGAAGCTGAAGCAAATTTTTTAATATGTTTCAAAAGGTTATTTATTAAAGAAATATCAAAAAAAACAAAAGAAAAGAAGGTTTAGAAGACGAGGGAAGGCAGAGGGAAAGAAATTCAATGGAAAAAGATTTCTGCTGCGGTTATTCCGTGAAAGGAATAAATGTGGAAGACAGAGAAAATTGAAAATTTGGTAATTTGGGAAAACGCCGATTGGCTGTTTACTGTATTAGGACTTTTACGCACTAATTATAGGTGGTTGAATGGACCCACACACCCACTAAAGCCCAGTTCGCCATCAACTTTTCTTTTCACGAGTAGCTTTTAGAGCTTCTTGGGCAGGAAAAAACTTGAATGCCGGACCAAATAAGCAAATTAAATTTTTTTTAAAAGTTTTCAACTTTAATTTTTTTTAAGCGTATAATCAGTAATATTCTCATTTTAATCAACTCTTTAATTTTATTAATTTGATCTATAAATAAAATTACAGATTCGATCTAAATAAATTTTTCGCTGTTGAACAATCTGTTTCTTTTAATTTTTAATCTGAGTCAAAATGTTATGCAATTATATTATTAAATAATATAATATTAAAAATCTACAAAAATACCATGAACTCAGTCGCTTGTTATAAAATCAATCTAATCTAATTTTCTCGGAGCACTCACATTTATAAACTTAAATATGTACACCCTCTACTTTTAAATTGGAGCTCGAGTTTCATATAAACATATAGGACGGACGATATATCCTTGAGTTAACTTAGCTCAAGGCTTGCAAAACATTTCCATTGGGTAAATGGAACTTAACCAATCACTGTCTCTCCACCTACCTTTGTCGATCTCCATTCTAGAATGGAGAAATCAGCACCGCAACATTCTTTTTGTCGTTCTCTCAAAAACTAAAGAAACCTCAAAACAATAGTGATCGGGACTCCTATCAAATAGCAACGATATTAAAATCTCATACACGCATTGTTGTAATTTTTTCTATACACTCAACGTTTAGGGTTTACATTTTTTTTTACATTCTTGTCTATTTCTTTTCCCTTGATTGTTAATGCCTAAAATTTAGGTATTCTACCTAATTCTCTTTTGAGTATGTTACTATTCAAAGAAATATGTCATTTTAATTATTTTATTTTATTGCCCATTATGGGGACCCTTTCAATCCAATTTTTTTCATTCACAACGTTAAAGTTTGAACCTTAGACGTTGCTTAACATATATAGTGTCTCATCCCACGGGACCAAGTGATGGTTGGTAATCAAACATGTATTTTTATTAAATACTTTTACTTTAAACTGCTCTATAAACAGCTAATAGCTAACGGTTAATATCTAATTATAGCTATTAAAACAACTAACAATTAGTATTGTCGAACATGCCCTTAGTATTTTGACACTATCTATTATTTATAGTGTTTGATAGCGTAACTTTTATTCTAGTATTTAATGCTTAACAGAATAGACCTTATTACTCTTTCCAATTTATTAAATTTGATAATCTTTTTTTTTAATTTTCTTTTCATTTAAATGACACTTTTAGAATATTAATTATTTTTTAAATGGAAAGTCTAATGGACTGAAATAACATTTTCGGCTATACGCAGGGTAGGTAAGAATACCAATTACACCACATCTGATTGACTGAATATTAATTATTTTATTCTAACTTTATTCTTATCAAGATATTTGCACTAAACTTTGTTTTCATTAAATGAATATTAATTAAAAGGTAATTTAATCATTTATCTTTATATTTTTTTAAATTGCATCATTTTCTAAATTACTATGAAAAGTCAAAATTTGACAATTTCTATGTAGTAAATAATTGGTGGTTTCTCTTTTTATTTTCATTAAATTTAAACTGGATTTCCTTTTAAAAAAATGAATGAATTTTAATTTTTTAACCATTTTATTATTTTCTGTAATTTTTAATTTTAATGAATATATTTAAGTTGTTTTATTATTTTCAAAATAAACTATTTAATTTATTATTACAATTGTATAATCAGTTAAATTTCTACACAAAATTGCTAGGATTGTGGCTAGTATGAGCATTACTTTTATTGCTACGTATGCCATTAGATCACTTTGTCGATTTTAAAATTTCAAAATTTGTAATATGAAAGATGTCAGTCTACTGTTCATCCTTAAAAAAAAAAGTCTACAGATTATAAAGGATGGTGTAAATTTTTTTTACAAAATATATTTTAATTCAGTATATCTAATATCAAAAAATTATTATTCTATAATTTAAATTGATTATTTACATAAATAATAAAATTAGTAAATTAAAACCTAATAGACCATTGATTTAACTTAATAGTTTAATGGTTGGATGTGTAGTTGTAAGTTGATGTTGTAGAGTGAAAAATTTAAACTTTTGATATTATAAACCTATGAAAATTTTCAATCTATCAAAAAAAAAAAAAACCTTGATAATGATTTCCTTGAGCAATTTTGTAATGAAAATATCAATAGATGTTTTGTTATTTAATATTATACCGTCCACTCCCTAAAAGTCTAAACAGTAAACTACTAAATATTATAAATAATAGAAATAATATTTTGCCAGACTCGGGTCCTAATCATTCAAATTGCAAAAGGAAACTTTTCACATTGAGAATTTGAAAAACGAGAAGGTTTCTCTCTGGTATCCATGTTCAATTTTGAGTACTCAAACCCTTGATAAATCAATGAACATTTTCAAATTTTCTCACTTCCCTATCAAAAGAACCGTATTGGCTTTGTCTGCACTAAATAAAACGTGTTAATTTAATTTTTGTGTATATAAAGATATTTTGGATCACAGACTGACATTCAATGGAGGGCATCTCCCTCTTGGAAGCATCCTAAGAAAGTGAAATCCATTTGAATCAAGTAATTCAGTAATTCAACCAAATATTTAAATTTAAATTCATGAATATATTTTATAGTATAGGTAATATATTAAAATAATTTATCAAATAAAATTCAACTCAATCAAATCAAATATGAATGTTAAATTGAATAAAAAATTTACATATTATCGATTCGTCTCGGTTCGATTAAACATCCTATTCTGTGGTCAATCCAATAGCTTTCTGATGTGGTGATTCAACATTTGTTGACAGGGACTGTCCATAATCTCAATTCCTATGTGCTTTTGGCTCTAGATTACCCTATACGACATCGTGGAGTCTACATCCATTTTACTTTCAGATATAGCAACTCTATTCTATTTCAAAGTAGAGATTTTTCAAAGATAATTTATCATTTCAAGTTGGGATAGTATATACAAAGGGACCAAACAACACTGAGCAATAAACATTTTTTTTTTTTTTTTTTTTTTTTCGTCTCCGGTTTCGATTAAAACTATCCATTCCTGTGGTCCAATCCAATAGCTTTCTGATGTGGTGAATTCACATTTGTTTGACAGGGACTGTCCATAATCCAATTCCGTATGTGCTTTTTGGCTCAGATTACTGTAATCGACATGCGTGGAGTTACATCCATTTTACTTTCAGATATAGCAACTCTATTCTATTATCAAAGTAGAGATTTTTTCAAAAGATAAATTATCATCTTCCAAGTTGGCGATAGTAAATAAAAACAAAGGGGACCAAAACAAACACTGAGCATAAAATTTTTTTTTTTTTTTTTTTTTGTTGAAAACGAAGGTTTTTTAGGAAAAAAAAATAAAATAAAAACAAATTTTTAAAAAATCTCTTCATTAATTGGTCTAGTTCATGGTTGCTCTTAAAAATATAATTCACATATAATGTGAGCCATAAAAAAAAAGTATATGAGCTCGCTCAATACACCGTACCAATCCAGAATTAGTTTTTTTTTTTTCAAATAATGGTTTCCCTAACTTTTTATAACGAAAAATAAAAATAAAACAGTAACGATCTTCTTTTATCAGCTTAGTGGACAAATGGTTTCATAAGGGGGAGTTCGCAATTCTTATCCCAAAAAAAAAAAAAAAAAAAAAAACCAAAAAAAAAAAAAAAAAAAAAAAAAAAAACCTTGGCATGCATAAAATTACGAGGATGAAATTGTCTAGAACAAAAAAAAAAAAAAAAAAAAAAACCTTGGATGCATAAAATTACAGGATGAAATTGTCTAGAACAGGTTCATATGGCCCTGCCCTTAGACCAAATCGATATAAATTAGAATTTTTTTGTTAAAAAACACGAATATTTCTTGTAACCATACACCAGAAAAGAATAAAGTATGAATAATTTTTAAAAAATTATTATTTTATTGATTTCGTATTTAAATAGAGTGATAGATGCAATGTGGGCGAGTATAATCCTAAAAAGTACATGGTAAAGTGCAGGATTGGGTGGAGTTCACTATTTATTTGGCACATGATTTCACTGGTTGTTCACCAAGCAGTGGAAGATTAAGGGGTTCAATTCTACCCTATCATATAAACAGTGGAATATATAGAGAATAATTGCATTTGTGGTTGTTACAGACTTGGATAGATAACGAATTTTTTACAAATGACATTTTCTGTTTCTTTAACCACAGAATTACAGTATTCAGCAAACAATTACATAACATAGAATTTAAAAAAAAAAAAAAAACTAAGACATTTGTACAAGTTGAAGGACTAGTCCTCTTCTTCTTTTGATATTAGAATCATTATTTTACTTCACAATTCTGTTTCTCATCTTCTTCTTGTTGCTTTAATGTCTCATAAAGAGGAGCATTTCTTGTCTCAGGTAGCCATAAACTCAGAGTACCACTAAAGATAGAAAGCAGTCCAAAGACAAGAAATGAAAGAGATGGACTCCAACGACCAACCACCACCAGCAGAGGCGCTATAGAAGCGCCTAGCATCAGCGATTGCCTCAACATCGAAACAGCGAAGTTTCTAACATTAGTAGGGAAAAGCTCAACGCAGTAAATATACATAACATCAAATGCTGTTGAAGCTGCCATGAAACCGATGCCTTCAATAGTAAGTTGAGTCCAACTCCCACCGGATTTATCAGCCTTTGCTCTTCGCGAGAAAAGTATGCAGAGTATGCATGAAATTCCAGCTATATATGCAGACTGAGAAAACAGCAAACGCCTGTTTGTGAAGCTTAAAAGCACACTTCCTATGAAAACTGCAGGAATCTCCATTAATGCATTGAGAGCAACGGTGAAGTAGAGATTGAAGTCGAGGTTTTCGACATTTAGTTGAATACCATAGTAAACAAATCCAACTCCAAAACCAGCTATCATAACCATAATCATTCTTTTAGCGGCCCATTTATTATTCCATAGGCTTTCATTTGTATCTACTTTTGCTTCGCTTTCACTTGCAACTCCAGCCCCGTTTTCAACTACCTTAGATATTGATGGATTTGCAAGTGTTAAATTTGAAGGCAGCTTCTTGCCATTAAGTTTTGCATATCTTTTTAATATATAAATAGCTTCTTTACTTCTACCCCTGACGAGAAGCCAACGAGGTGACTCAGAAATAAAAGGAATAAACAAGATGGAGTAGACAAGAGGAAAAAGAGAAATGATTCTGTATAAATTCCTCCATGAAGTTCTTGTAGGATAGGCTATAAAAGGGAGAGAAAGAAAGCCTGCAGTGAACAAAAAGAAGCCATATTGGCCGACTTGACCACGCCATTTTCGACCAACAGCTTCAGTTGATAGAACAAGACAGCATATACCTATACCGGACCGGGCGAAACCGTTTGCAAAACGAAGGAATGAATATATCCAAACGTTTGGTGAAAGAGAAGTGAGGAAAGCAGTTATAGAGGTTAGAATGCAGGAAAGGAGCACTGCTCTTTTTCTACCCAGGTATTTATCTGCTAGGAACCCATAAACTGCAGAGCCTGCATAATTCATTTCAATAAGAGTTTTAGGCAGGAACAAGTATAGCCAGTGACGCGACAGAGCGAGTAATTAAAGTTAAGGGAGCAAAAAAAAATTCAAAAGTTAAAAGGGGAAAAATTGAAAAAAATTACTATTTTAGAAGGTATTGATCTATAGTCTTCGTAAATTTATCAAATAAATTCGAATTAACTGTCGAGCAGATCACAAATAGTTTGACTCATTTACACCCTTAAATAAGCATTTGTGACTAATTGTAGCAAATTATTATATTTATATATATATACTTAAATAAGCATTTGTGACTAATTGTAAGCAAAAGTTATATATTTATATATAATATAATAATATACTAATATTAATATATATATAATATATATATGTTATATGTTGCAAGCTATTTATTTAATTCATATATATTTTGGTGATTGATTGATCTTTAGGAAAAAAAAAGAATGAACTTTTAAATAAGGATAAATATTATTAGTACCTAATAGAGAACCAAGAAAGAAGAGGGAAGCAGGTACACCAGCAAGGAACCTGCGATCACATATAAGACTCCATTCAGCAATAGTAGAGCTTGTATTCCCACCAACCCATTCCCATGTTCCGGGTGCTAACCCACAAACCGATCCAGACCCGTATCCATTTTCGGAGCTACACAAACTGGAAAAGGATGCTGTATTATTTGCATGGATAGGCAATTTACATTTCCAGGCAGGTGGTTGTGCGTCGCTGAAAATAGTAACCAATGTGTTCTGCGAGTCAAAAATCCAAGCCAAAGAGACCAAAAACACATGCAGTAATTGAGAAAAACCTAAGGATCCAACATGCTCTTCTATCACTTCATCTACTGTTAGCTCTATCTTATGATTTGTTATTGGGACTATTACTACTCCTCTTTCTGCCATTTCCATGTCACCATATATAAGTTTTTCTGCTGCTTCTTCTTTTTTTTCCATTTTTAAGGAATCTCTCTTTCTATTTCTCTCTTATGGTGTTCTTTCTATTTCTGTTTATATTATATACATATATATATATATATATATATATAGTCATAGATGTAGAGATTAAATATTGTTTAATTTTTTTTCTTTAAATAATTAAAGTGGGTTGCTGAGGCTATGATGTGTCGGTGTAATGCGAGCTTAGTAGACTACTCTTTCCATTTCTTTAAAATATATATATATATATATATATATAGTCATAGATGTAGAGATTAAATATTGTTTAATTTTTTTTCTTTAAATAATTAAAGTGGGTTGCTGAGGCTATGATGTGTCGGTGTAATGCGAGCTTAGTAGACTACTCTTTCCATTTCTTTAAAGAAACCAAAGAAATGACTTAAACATATGATTGATACAATAAACAATATCATATAAGAAAGAAGAAGGCGTGTGTGCGTTTTGTGTGTGCAAGCAAGAGGCGACAAAAAGAAAGTGTGCCCTGCGTGATATGAGCTTCACAAAAACAAAATCAGAAGAGAGACAAAGGTGCCGAGAGAAAGAAAAGGAAAAACCAAGTAAAAATTGAAAGCCTTGATCTGACGGTTGATCTTTACCAAGTAAAAATTGAAAGCCTTGATCTGACGGTTGATCTTTACCGAGCTTGACGAAATTTTGATACGCTGATGTATACTCACCAAGTTCTCGAAAATGAACGGTTCTGATTTTTGATTTGGCTCTCCTTACCAGTAAGATGTACCCACTTTATTTTTTGTATTTGTTATTGAAATCCACCTTTTGGGTGAAGATTAAATTTTTATAAGCTAAGGGTATGCCTTGATGATATTTGTGTAGCCTTAAGTTGATCCAGGGAAGTGTTAGTCGTTAAGGCAAAAATCTAATTTATGCAGTTCATATTTTTTAGTGTGTCCTATTGTTTTGTAAATACATGGGCTTGTGTTTCTTTACGTGAGTTTGTGTTCTCTACAAATATGGAATTTATTGATTTTATATTGTATTTAAAGAGTTATTAGTTGAATAAAATATTATTCCAGTTCAACCAATTTGATATTCCCGCCGTTTCTTTGAGAAAAATACTTGCACAGAAAATTATATTTATCATTGTATTTGTTTATGTTTTTTAATCAAGAAGAACCTTATGTGTCCCATTAATTTTATTAGTGGAAGATTTTTGAGTGGACTATACTTGTTATTTTCATTTTTTCTTAGAGGGTTTTCCACATGAAAATGGTGTTGTTTGTGCTTTAATGATTTTTATTATTTTGCTTGGCTTTATTATCGTTACTGCCTTAATATATTGGTATTGCCCATTTAATTTGCACAAAGAGAGAAAAGTAGTGATCCATATTATTATTATTATTATTATTATTTCGCTGTAGTTGTGCTTGTGCCCGTTTTTTCCAACAAGTGGTACAATCGCACTTCCAAAAGTATTTTACCTTTCTCACTCTTGAAAATTTCGGTCATGTCAAACTGCTAAATGGTACACTTGTTAAATGTTGGCTAAGAACTTTGGTTGGAAGATATGAGATACACTCATGATGCATGCTTTAATCTAATATCTACTCATTTGTTTGATGATTTGGGTTATGAAGATTCCTTTGCTAATAATATGTAGAGGCTTTCAAGAGGCGACTTGATATTTGGTAAAGGAAAGAAGCACAATACTCTTTGTCACACCAAGCCAAGATTTGCACTGAGATTGTGAATGCAGCTGAAGATTTCTCCATAGATTTGTGGCACAACAACTTGGTAATTTAAATGAGACTCTCCCAAAAAGGAGATTCTACCCTTGGCAACTATGTCTCTAAAACATATTGTCTGTCCGATAAATAATATAGAGTTTCATTTCGTAGATCCCCTTCTCTATTTAGGAAGTCCGGAATTCTAAATTTATGACACACTAATGTATATGTTCTATGACTGATAAATCTATTGGTGGTTGCATATATTATGTTACTTTTATTGATGATTATTCTAAAAATGTATGAGATTTTCCTATGGAATCAAAAGACAAGGTGCTAGATATGTTCAAATACTCACACCAGTGCTGAAAGAGAAACAGGAAGAAAATTATAATATGTCAAGCTAACAATGGTGGTGAATACAAAGAACTATTTGAAAAAATATTGCAAGGAGCACGGTATCAGGATACAATATCCACAGAAATGACTTTAATGACCAAAGTGTGTTGCTAAAAGTGATGCTGCACTAAATTCCTGGAGCAGAAAACTGGTGATCAAACTATTGAATAGATTAGTGTTGTTTGCTGTAGAACACATCAGCAAAGATTCATTGATGGTATCAGACATGGATGACATGATTAATAATAAAATAACCAAAATATTTTTAATAAAAGCTAATTAGTTTTTTAATAACTAAAATATTTTAATACAAGCTTCGTCCACTAAAACATTTGAAGCCCCTCTTTCTTTCTGCACCAAACATATTCTCATATTGCTATTCGACGCCACGCCACTGTCCAGAAATGTGATTTAACGTCCACATATTATGTTACTTGATTCCTATGTAAGCACTAAGCAAGTACAGCCCCATCCTCTAACTTTCTTGCATCATTTATGTGCTATATATTTGCAATTATATTTTATTACAAAAAGAACTTTGCATATCAAGAAACCAATTAGCATCCAATGCTGGGAAAGAAAATTTTATCTCAAGTTAGGGTTCTCCATCCATCTAACCTGCAGGAGTGAAATCGACTTTTTTTTTTTTTTTATGGCATAATCAGGAGGCGTAATCCTCCTTGGACTGTAGAAGCAAAATGCCCTTTTTTAAATTTGTATTTTTATACTTACGGGTATTGAGGTCGCTTTCTACTCCAATTAATATCTTATTAGTAAATCGATCTAATTTTTAATAAATCGAAATCGATCTAAGAAATTCAGTTTTTAATTAGATTGGAATAAGGAGAACAAATCAACTCTATTTTTAACTAAACCAATGGAAAATAATTGGAAATAGCTAAAACTAATCAGAACCATTTCCAGTGAAATATTAAATAAATAAATAAGTGTCCAAACTAATCCAACTATATCAGAAATAATAATTTATTTAAAATAAATATGTATATTGTTCAAACCAAAAAATTAGACGGAACCTGTATTTTTTACACGTCTAGGTTCAATTTCTATCTAAATAGTTTTCTTTAGGAAGAAAAAAATTTTGTGATTTCAATTATTTTAATTCGATTAAGTTATTTCTCAATAAAATCAAAATATTTTGATTTCAATTTATATCTAAATTTTTGAATTTTTCCCCAAATTGTTAGTACATAACACCCGTCTCAAGTACAAAAAGAACACTATCTCAAATATTTTATTGAAGTGAATTTGATATATCATTATCATAATTAACAATTTTAGCTTTTTCCTTTTATAATCCTTTCCATTCTATTCTATTCTAGCTTCAAACCTAAATTCATATCAAACATATCAAATTGTAACAATTAGAGTGTACCTTTAGCAACAATAGATATCAGTTGTAAAATTAGCAACAATAGAAATAACATTTAGGGTCTGTTCGGCAAACTTAACTATTTTAGTAACTGTTATATGTTTTATTAACATTTAGTTGTGTTAGATGTTTTAGTAGTTTTTCATAAAAAGCAAAAAACCTAAATCTTATATGAATTAACTTTTCATAAAACGCTTCCTCTATAACTTACTTCAAATGCTATATTACTGAACATCACTGCTCAAAACGTTAAAAGCTACTTAAAAAAAATACAACTTTAACCTAAAAAAAAAAGACAATACTGTTTTTTTTTTTTTTTTTAAATTCAGTGAGGAGAATTCGAAACTAAGAAGTTTAATAATATTTGTGAGTGCACAAACCTAATAATATTTGAACTTGACGTGAACTTCCATTAATCATATATTTAATAAGAATTAATCCTATATTTAATACCAATTAGTCATTGCATGATTAGCTTTTATATTGGTGCATTCTGCGTCATGCAATATTAACAGGAAGACGTATTCCCCATTCACTACACAGGCAAATATAAATTGCAATTTGTGGCTGTAAAGAAATAAGGGAAAAATTACTTTTCCGTCCCTCTATTTTCATCAAATTAATGACTTCATCCATGCATTAGTTGTTTTTTTTTTCCACCAAAATTACTTAAAAAGACGAGAGTACCCTAAAATAAAATATCCTATTTCACTCAAACTCAACCCTCTCTCTAGGGGTGAGCATTCGGTTTAATTCAATCAATTCGGTTCGGTGAATAAATATTCGGTTAAAATTTTGGTTAAAGAAAATTAAATTTTCGATTATGGTTAAAGGTTCGAGGTTCGGTTAAAAATTAATTTAACCGAATTAATTAAATTCGACCCTCAAAACTATGTTGTCTTAATTAAGTACAAAATAAAATTAAAAATTAAAAATATTTCAATTTTTATTTTGATTGAGTAGCGATTAATAAGCTCGGTTAAATTTTATTTCGGATGAAGTCGGTTAATCATATAATTTCAATTAAATTGAGTCGATTAATTAAGTTTTCTACTTCTTTAACTTCGGTTCGATTAATAATTAAAATTAATTCGGCTAAAACGGTTCGGTTAAATTTAGTTAAGTAAAAAAAAGTTAATTTATTTTGATTAAAAATATTACTCAAATTGACCGAATGCTCAACCCTACCTCTCTTACAAATTCCTTTCTCACTCAAATTCTCCCTTTTGTTTGGTTCAACACAGCATATCCCTTTCATTTTTTCTCTTTGTATATTTTTCTTCTAATTTATAAAAAATTATTTTATATTGGCTAAAGGTTTTATCTTATTAAAAATTTATCTTACAAAAATAAAGATGATCAAATAACTCGATTCAATAGATATTTGATCCAATAGTCACGTCATTAAACTATAAGAGAAAAGAAATAAGGAAAGCTCCAGTAGAATATATTGGAAAAGAAAAAGGAAAAATAATTATTGTGTCCCTATATATTGGTCAAATACACTAGTCAGGATTGTTAGAATAAAATCCGATTGTGATCCTAGTATCTGAATCTGATTCTAGTATCTAAATCTAATCCTAGTGTATCTAATTGTGTATCTTATTATGATCCTATTGTATCTGATTATGATTCCTTTTTCCTTTTTGTACATACCTTGTACACCAATATAAAGGGTGTTGTATGATGTAAATCTCATATCAATACAATACAAATTTCTTCTCATTCAACTTGGTATCAGAGCTTTTCTAGGCAATTACTTTTCTTCTTTTTGCAGGCTTTGGTCTTTTCCTGTGAGTCTTCACGCATTCCATAGCCACCTCAAATGTTTTCTTCCTCTTCTGATATTGTTCATCCTATTCAACTTATTTTAGATTATACTAATCATCATTCTTGTAAACAACAAATGCAATGATTCTTGCAAGGCCCCAAACTTTGGGGTTATGTTTCTGGCAGTATCACCAAACCAGTATCCATTGCTAATTATGCCACTCGTATTGCTAATTGCAAAGCTGATAATACTAAAATAATGAGTTGTATTGCCGATACAATACCACCTAAAATTAATCAGTTGTTTGTTCCTGTAAAACAGTTAAGGATGTCTGGAATTTTTTGGCAACCAGTCACACTGTCACTAATCAGAGTTCACAATATCAGATTGATCAAAAACTCCTTCATCTTCATCAGCTTCTAGGTCAGTCAGTTCAAGATTATTATAGTTCCATGGCTATTCTATGGGATAAGCAGTCTCATCTTGAATAATGCATCGCTTGCTTGGTTCATTATAATGATGCTCGGGATAACAAACATCTTCGTCAATTTCTAATGGGTTTACTCGATGAATACGAAGACAGGCATTCATCTATCCTAAATCGGACTCCTACTCCATCTCTTAAGACAACTCTTGCTGAGATCAAATCTGAGGAGACAAGGAAAAAGACTATTGCCTCCCTGACACTTCCACTTGGTTCAATTTCTTCTCAAACTATAGTAGTTGTTCCTCGTCCTACTTCTCTGATCCTGGTAAGAAGTGGTGCTATTACCATAAGACATCTACTCATCATCACTTAGAATGTCGCACTCTACAAAATCGTGATCGGAACAAACAGAAATCGTTTTCACGCATAGCGACTGTTGTAAAGGACACTACTCCTTTTGCGAAGTCTTCTTCTCTCACCTAGGTGCAACTCACTTCAGATGAACTGGCAGTAATTACTCAACTCCGTCAGTCCCAAAATAGTGATGGAAGTGGTATTTCTAACTCTTCATCTCATAGTTCTTTTGCCTTATCTATTACAACAAGTACTTAACATTGGTTACTTTACTCTACATGTTGTAACCACATGACATCAATCCACACTCTTTCTCACTCAAGTCACCTACTACTTCTATTCTATTATTCATACTGCTGATGGCACCCTTTTACATACTACTCATGTTGGCACTGTCTTTACATCTTCCATTTCTGTTCCTGACACTTATTTACTTCCATCTTTGAAACACAATCTTCTCTTTGCTAGATAAATTGTTAATCTTGGTTATCATATACTTCTTAACAATATTAGTTGTTTCATTTAAGACAATGTGATGGGGAAGGTTATTAGGGCAGGGCGTAAGGTAGATCGCTTGTTTGTATAGATCAACTTCACCTACCATCTACCTCATTAGCTTCAGCCTCTGTTTGCCAACAAAGTACTTGAACTCTAGCGCTCTTATCTTGGTCATGCATCTATCTCTAAACTTCATCCTCTTATCTCCAGTGGTCAGTTAGGACAAGTATCTATGTCTTTTAATGATTTTAAGTGTCAAGTTGAGTAAACAAGCTAAAATCCCTTTTAATAATAATGAATTAAGAGCTACTACATGTTTTGATTTAATTCATCCTGATATATGGGGTCCTTCTCCAAATATTACTATGGGAGGATCTTGCTATTTTGTTATATTTATTGATGATTTCTCTCGGTTCACTTGAGTTTATGTTTTCAAAAATCATTTTGAGTTACTATCTATTTATTCGACTTTTTTTCAAGTGGTTCATATGAAATTTTCTCGAACTATTAAAATTTTCAAATTTGATAATGCTAGAGAATACACTTCAATTCATTTTCTTAAGTTGTTGGCAAAGCATGGCGCTATTGCTCAAACCTTCTGTCCTGTAACATCTGAACAAAATGGTCGAGCAGAGCGAAACCACAAACATATTTAAATAGTACGTGACCTTTTACGTTCTGCCACTCTTCCTAAATATTTTTGGGGCAAGACTATCCTAATTGTCATTTTTAGAATCAATCGTACCCCCTCTGTTCTGGGAAATAAAACACCTTATGAATGCTTGTTTAACGCTTCTTCAAATTATAATCTTTTACATGTTTTTGGTTGTATTTGTTTCGTTCAACTTCATCCGCATGAGCAAAGCAAATTGGAACCACGGTCTCACATGTGTTATTACTTGGGATATGGTATAGATAAAAAAGGGTATCATTGTTATGATCCAATCTCTAATAGGTTACGAGTTCTTGTCATGTTGTCTTTTGGGAAAACATCCTCTTTACTCAAATGGCATCTCTTAACTCTCCTCCCAAATTTGAACTTGCTACAGAATCTTTGTTTGTTGATCCTTTTGCAGATAATCCTCCTATCACTTATACAGTTCCTCTAATCACACTACCTACCTCGGACTCTTCTCCTACTCTTTTTGATCCACCTACTCCTATAGACAATCTCCCTTCTTCTTCCAACTATGCTCCTTCCGCACCTCCCGTCCCTACTGACACTCTTCATGAGGTTCGTACTTCTTCTAGTAGAGTAGTCAAACCTAATGTCGTTTTAATGATTATCATTGTTATTTTGCTCTTACAACCCTTCATAAACCTATCACCTTTAAAAAAGCCTCCACTGACCCCCTTTGGCAGAAAGCTACGAATGAAGAATTAGAAGCATTTACAAAAACTAACACTTGGGACTTAATTGATCTGCCTCTAGGTAAATCTATTGTAGGTTGCAAATGGGTGTACAAGATCAAGACTCGTGCAGACAGGAGTATTGAACAGTATAAAGCACGTTTGGTTGTAAAATGATACACACAAGAATATGGCATTGATTTAATGATTATCATTGTTATTTTGCTCTTACAACCCTTCATAAACCTATCACCTTTAAAAAAGCCTCCACTGACCCCCTTTGGCAGAAAGCTACGAATGAAGAATTAGAAGCATTTACAAAAACTAACACTTGGGACTTAATTGATCTGCCTCTAGGTAAATCTATTGTAGGTTGCAAATGGGTGTACAAGATCAAGACTCGTGCAGACAGGAGTATTGAACAGTATAAAGCACGTTTGGTTGTAAAATGATACACACAAGAATATGGCATTGAATATGAGGAGACTTTTACTCTGGTTGCTCGCCTTACCTCTATACGAGCTCTTGTTGTTGTTGCTGCCTCAGCTCAAAAATGGTCTCTTCATCATATGGATGTTAAAAATGCTTTTCTTAATGGGGACTCATCCGAAGAGGTATATATGAAACCTCCACCTGGATATCCACACTCTCCTCATCAAGTGTGTCATCTTCGAAAAGTACTCTATGGTCGCAAACAGGCACCGTGGGCTTGGTTTTCGAAGTTCAACTCTATTTTAAGCCAGCTTGGTTTTCACTCTAATGCTTATGATTCAGCCCTCTTTCATCGTCAGACTAACTCTAGATTGGCCATTGTTTTACTTTATATGGATGATATGATTATCATTGGAGATGTTACTTTAAGCATTCATGATCTCAAACTCTCACTAAGTCAAAAGTTTGAGATGAAAGATCTTGGAAATTTTAACTACTTTTTGGGACTTGAAGTGAATTCTGATTATAATGGTTACTATCTTTCTCAGACTAATTATGACTCTGATTTGATTTCAAAATCTGGTATCTCAGACAGCACCATTGTTCAATCTCCGATGGAAGAAAATTGAAAAGTTAACGATCTTGGTGGGGAACCTCTTCATGATCTTACTTTATATCATCAGTTGGTTGGTAGTCGTATCTATCTTATAGTTACTCGACTAGATATTGCTTATGCAGTGCATCGTCTCAGTCAATTCATGATCTCCCCTCGGACTGTTCATTTTTCTGTTATACACCGAATTCTACGATATGTTAAAGGCACTATCTTTCATGGTTTATTGTATTTATTCTCTGCCTCACTACAACTGACTACCTATTCTGATGCTAATTGGGGTAGAGATCCTTCGGATCGACAATCCACGCTGGTTTTTGCTTCTTTCTAAGTGATTCTCTCATATCTTGGTGAAGCAAGAAATAAACAATTGTTTCCCACTCTAGCACTAAATCTGAATATCGAGCTCTTACCGATACTAATACTGAGTTAGTTTGGTTACATTGGCTACTTGAGGACATGAGTGTTTCCTTTACAACACTCACTCTTATTCACTGTGACAATCAAAGTGCTATTCAAGTGACACATAATGAGTTCTTTCATGAGCGGATAAAACATATTCAGATTGATTGTCATATTACTCGCACTCATCTGACTTGTGGCAACCCTCAATTGATTTCTATCTCATCTTTGATTAGCTTGCAGACATCTCCATAAAATCCTTTCATGTTTCAACCTTCTAACATCTAGTTTCCAAACTCAGATTGATCTCCAGTCACTCACCCTGAGTTTGAAGGGGTGTTAGAATAACAATTCAATTGTGATCCTAGTATCTGAATCTGATCCTGGTATATCTGACTCTGATCCTACTATATTTGATTCTAATCTTAATATTTCTAATTATTTATTTCATTATGATCCTATTGTATCTCGTTATGATTCTTTTTTCCTCCTTATACATACCTTGTACACCTATATAAAGAGTGTTGTAGAATGTAAATCTCATATCAATACAATACAAATTCCTTCTCATTCAACTAGAACCTACTTTTTATAAAATACATGATAGCATTTGCAAGTTATGGTTCCGTTGAATACGTTAGTCCTTCCATCATTTTTAATAGATTTTGCCGTTAAATTACTATCAAAAGTCTAAAATACCCTAATATAGACTTCATCATTTTCCATACAATCCCAAAACCACAAAATACACCATTTTAAACCCAAAATTGCCTTCACTACAATTATTGTATTCTCTATAATTAACAACCAAAATCCATATGCCAAAAATAATTTATTTCAAGTAATAAACCCAAAAGAAAACCACCATAACAAATAAAAACAGATCAAAAAAAAACTTTTAAGAAATTTGAAACACAGAGATGGGTATAGAAAAGTGAACATGACAACCAACGCACCCAATAGAAAAGCTACTTGTAAAGAGACAAACAAATCAGCAGCTCAAACTCACTCGGCCAGAGCTTGGTTGTGTCCCTTCGATGTGATTTCTTTTTGGGTTTAATACTTGAAAGGAATATTTAGACGCAGAAGAAAGGGAGACAAATAGAAATAAGTAGATATTGGTCTTCGTAAAGGGCTAGCTCTGCACGCAATCAGAGTAGCTTTTGAAGTGCAAAGCGCCAACCTCATATTTAACTTGAAATATTTTCTAGAAAATAAATAGAGCTTAAAAGGAGAAATTTAGAGAAATGGAAGCTTAGATCACATAAGCATTTGTATCAAACAACGAAGTAACACCACACATCATGGTTCCGTCCAAGAGCTACCAAAGATTGAGCGAGAGGGATGGGTAAAGTCAAGTATTTTATTGTTCTCTCTTGATTTATTAGAGCGGGTAGAGAGAGAACTAAAATGCCTAACAGAATCATAACTTGGGACGTAATCATATAGTTTACAAAAGAATAGATCCTGACTAGCCTAGCAATATATAAAGACAGTAATAGTAATTTTTCCAAAGAAAAATATTGAAAGAGGTAATGTTTCAAAACTGCACCATTTCTCAAATGACCCATATCCGATCCAATAGTCACATCATCAAAAAATAAGCTCCAATAGAATATATTGGAAAAGAAAAATATTGAAAGGGGTAATGCAGTCGGGGATTCTTGATAATATCGAGCTGGAGTAACCATGAATGGCAATTCATAACACGATTATATGTACAAGTGTTCATGAAAAAATACCTGCAAAAGACATGTTCTTACAATGAACAACTTAATGTTTTTCCCATTCTAACTAATAATTATCATGTATATCCTATTAATGAGCACACACTAAAGTCTCCCAATAGTACATCCTATTAACAATTCTTAGGGGGAATGTGCTGCCTTAGTGAGATTAGCATATTCCTAATCGTCCTGTCGTATCAGCTAATCCTCGTGATCATCCTCTCCTTGAATAACACGCCTTAACCTCAACAATTCACGATTATCTTGATTCAATCCTGCACCTAGCAAATTAGAATTTTGCATTTCAGATGAAACCCCTGCCTCATTTTGCCTCTCCTCTGTATCCTCTCCATAGTTGTGGAGCCTACGACCGATGAGATAGCGATCATCACGTATAGCGTTGTGAAGATTGGTGAACCAAACATGGAATCTTTTTGCACAAAAGCATAGAGCACTGAAGCAGAGACATCCCAACCATGCAAATCGGTACACAGCCGAGTTCACTACTAACGGGTACCCAAGCACAGGAAACACACCTCTTGCCAATACATATGGCACACATAGGGCTGTTAGGAGCTTCATTATTATAGGGAACACAATCTCTCGCAGGACCCAGAGACCTTGCAGCCTTGAGAAACCATCTTCTCTTACCCTTTCAAATTTTATTCGCCAGCTTTCATCCACAAGTGGCATCATATGATCTAACATCACCTGTTCAAGCAACAACACATTGATACTGTAAAAATAATTCCTCTCTCATCCTTCCAAATTATATCTTTTTACCTTGCCCAAAATTCCACCGCAAACTCAAACTAAAACAAATACCAACATCATACAGATGCAGAAATTTTCAATGAACTTATATTTTGGGTACTGTTTGCCACAGTTTCCAACCATAGTGACATCCTTAAATATGTTTAATAGATAATCAAATTCTGGCCATTCAAAAAACAAAACTCTAGCATGCTTATTAATCAAGTAATATTGCACAAAGTTCAATAACTCACCAGCCTGGTCCAGATCTTAAGAAAGATAAGTCCCAATGCCCAGTCCTGATACAGGAGGAAAACTGGGCTTTCATCCACAGGCACTCGCATAGGCACAATCACCAGAAGTTCAAAGAGCAGCCCAATCAATACTGGGATGACAAAAATCTAGAAAAGCGGCAATTTTTAAGAGCCGAAAGTTAGAAGTCACAACAACATAAAATGATAATGAGGTTTAGCAAATGGAGACTGACATGTGAAATAACAACCAGAAAAACTCATACCCATATTGATAACAATGCAGAGCTCTTGAGAACAATGCCACACCACTTCCAGATTTGACCAAGCAAAATCGTCACCCTATTAGTTCTAACTTGTTCAATAGAATATCTGGCTCCAGCCAACGCAGTCCAAATGACATAGCTTCCAATTATGAAGGCATAAAGATCTATGGGAAGATAAAAAGCAATAATAAATCATCATTCTCAACTCACATGCACTGTATATAAGAACTAGAGAAATCCAACCAACCATATTACCATTGCACTTGATGCCATGAGTTATTGGGAGAAGAGGAATGGCATTGAAAAGGGCACGCCCAAGTGATATTGGTACTACAATCAAGGCCGAGTTAAAGACAAGCAGAGTCATCCAAGCTACAATCAGCAAGAGAACAATACGAAGAACAAAGCTGTACCTGCTAAAAGACGAACTTTAAAATATTAGTTCACACTCACAACAACTGCAGTTGTTTTGAACCAGGAACAATGGTGAAGTGCAACAACAAATAAATGATGATGAAAGACAATAAAATATAATCTTAAGAGAGAACAATGATTATCATGCATAGTCTTCTCCTTCTTTCATCATGACCATTTTAAACAATTAAATACTGAAGGATCAGTTGGCAACACAGAATGCATAACGTTGCAAAGAAAATAATAGTAAATCATTCAAGAAGGATAACATTAACAATTACAGAACATCAAAAGATTAGTAAAGAATAGCATACAATAGAATACCACAATTACAAAAACGTTTCTTTCCTTTGGTTTAAGGTTCAATTTAAGAAGTTCTAAAATAAAGCAACAGCCATTATTGGGCTTAAAGGCACATAGAATTTCTGTGAGCATGAAAACCGTGCTATTAAAGGCACATAAGATGGAGGCAGCACGCCAATGGACAAATCGGGTTTAAAATGCTTTGGGCATTCCCAATATAAATTTGCAAACACGCCAAAGTAACTTGTAAGAGTAAGGAGAAGAGCTCAAGAAGAAATAAAATGCCGCAAATTGAAGTGATGAGCAATAATTTATGATCTTCACATATATTAGAAAGCATGACCTTAACAAAGTTGATCAGGAGAAGAAGAATAAATATGCCAATCCCAACTATTGGAATTGAGAGTTAAATTTAGTCAAAAAAGTGAGTTTGTTGGAAGAGTACATGCTGGTGGTAGGACTTGAAAAATCTGAAAAGGAAGGTACCATAGAGAATAAAAACGCAACAGTTAGGTAATAGCACTGAGAAGTCATCTAGAATCATAAAATTCTATATGTGCTGCTCCAAAATTTATCTAAAAAGAAGACATACAATAATAACTGAGCCTCAAGGATACACTAAAAAACTAAAACAGTTACGCCTGACAAACATGCACTTGCATGATGGAAGTGATGTTAATCAAATCAGAAAGATTAATCATGTTTTGGCAGATACACAAAAAAATTTTCTTTATAAAAAATGTAAGAGTAGGTGAAGAATATATGCAGAATGATGTAATTCAGACAAACTGAAAGAGTTCAATAGTGAAATATGTACTCTGAATCAGATTGTTCATCACTATCATCCTCCTCAGCAGCATTAGAGCTTCCTGCTGCAAGAAGACCTCTGTTTTGATCATCATCAGCAACAAGTGCCACCAATGCTCGATCTTGGCCACCTAGTTGTACCGCTGGAAGTCTATCTTGCCTTCCTGGCTCTGGATTTCCATTGTCCTGGCCACCATTGTTTTCAGGTCTTGGAAGTAAAAAGTCTGTTAAACCGAGTGCCCAGCCAACTGCGGTAAACCAATAGCGGAGGAGGGATTTGATTGTAGTCCGCAATTTAAAATGCTCGATGGCAAATGGAATGCAAATTTGGAAAAGAAGCATGTCAGCTGGAATTTCAGTAAATGGATCAGAAACCCTGTAAGAAAGGTATATTCATACGTCAGAGGACAGGAAAAAAGTGATGAATCATCAGTGGAACTGCAAACTTATTGCTGAGTGCTTACGATATGTCCAAAGGAAAAATGAAGGGAGCCATGCGCATTGCAAGTTTGACAGGTAAAAACACCAGCATGACAATCAAACTTCCATAAACTGCAACAGACAACAAAACCCTGCGAGCATGCTTGTGCACAGGATCGTCAATCAAATCTCGAAACGGGTTGTAGTTTGGATCGGCTGGATCTCGAAGGAAATACAATACTCCAGGGCGTAATACCTGATCGCAAAAAAAGGAAAAAAAAAATTAACAATTTAGCAAAAACACATATTTGCAGAAATTGTGCATTGTGATAAGAGCAATACCCCTCGAAGAAGACTGACAAAGATGCTTATTTGTAGCATATAAACAATTCCTACAACCCAATGAACCAATGAGCTTGCCAAAGGAGAAACTGAGAAGAATTGAACTCTCTGAGCCATGGACTTCCCGAACATCCTTATAGTACAAACATCCAACCACCAACCACACATCAAAGGAAATACGCCAAGTTCAATAACCAAAAGAAAGGCAACCTTAATCATAGTCATCAAATGCCTCATTGCAGCCAAGAACTGCCTGAAAAGGGATGGAATTGTTTCTGCTATAGAAGCGATACCATAAAACCTCCCCATAGTCAAAGGCTCACCCTTCGTGTAACGAATCAAAGCAACAATTCCAAGATAGAAGAAGACTAGGGAAAATATAAATATGTATCCAATAGCAAGAGTTGTTACATCAGAAAGTCGTGATGTGCCAATACTTGACCCTTTTAAGAGATCTGCTGACAGTGGAGTGCTTACATTCTTTGAGACTTCATTTAGACCACTTGCATTTACTTTTAAAATATCTGCAACCTGACCAAGAAGTCCACCATCTTGGCCTTCAGATGTCAAATTTGTAACAACAGTTAATGCATTCTTCAACGTAAAATTTGCTATGGAGAGGGCAGTATCTGTAAATGGCATAACTGTTGACAATAATGGACCGCTTGCAGACGAGAAAATCCATGATACATGATAGAGTATAATACGTCCGAGTGAAAAGGGTACAAAGATCACTATACCAAGGAATATCATATTGCTAGCAAGAACCTGCAGATTAGCAAACACAGTGAAAAAACTCCCCAAAACATGCAAATAAGCAGCTAAAAATTTTATTAATCCTTGCTTCCACCTAATCACTCGAAGAGCATAACAGCAAACATGCCCCTCATCCACCAAGAGAGAGGAATTATGGAATAAATTATTAGCTATAAGTGAACTGAGAACTGGAATGGACCAGCCAGATGGACAAGTCAAATCATAAACTAGACCAACGAATTGTTTGGTCAAATCTGGTTTTATTTTTTTTAATTTCTTTATTTTCCCTTAAAAACTGTTAATACATTGATCTCTTTAATGTTTCTAATCCCATTTAACTGGTTTTTAACTGAGACTAACTGGTTGGAATGGTGAACCAGTCAACTATCCAGTTTTAAAGGCACCTATAGCAAAGAGAAATGAATTGAAGGTAAACTACATGCCTTTTTCATTTTACGAAAGTAAATTTGAGTCAACAAAAGTTCTGCTATAAAAGGAGAAAAAAAAAGCAGCAGACACATTTCTGCTTCACATTTAAATAGTAATACAGGTGAAAATAAAACAACTAGTAGCAAGTTAAGCTTATTGGCAAAGCAGATACATTATAAAATTATTCAATTTCTATCATAAAAATTCCAGAAAAAGAAAAAAGAAAAGAATTTAGACTCACAGTAAATGCATTTTCAACTAAATGGAACACAGGACCCTGCATGCCAACAAGCTCATCGAAAGGAACATCCTCAGCACCATCAGCATCATCTAAACCATCAAACATTTGTTCAACATGAGCCTCCAGACGAGCTGCCTGCATCTCCCATCGAGCAGCAACATTTTCTGCATTTCTTCTGATTATTTGACCAGCCCCAGCAATTCCTTGTCCTCCACCAGCATCTTCAGCATTTGCCTCACCAGCAAAATTTCTATTTGCTTGCCCCGGTTGCCTTCTTGCAGCACGGGCACCATTTCTGTCACCTTCATCTTCTCTCTCAGCATCCTGACCTCCAAGCTCTCTTAAATGCCTAAAGTAATCTCTTAATGAAGTGGCCCCAAGAAAAATGAACACAATACTTGCAGAAAGTAGGAAGCCATGCAGACAATCAGTAAGAATAATAGTGGTGGATATATGACTTAAAAATAATCTCTGGGCTTCACCAAAACTCCTAACAAAAGCCAAACGCCATATCCAAAATGTTATGAAGGGTATAATAAGGAGCCAAACAGAAAGTACAAAGCTAAGACGCAAAAAGAATTGCAGAACATGGCAAGCCTTCATTGCCATCCCAACTATAAACTCCTGAAAAGGAAGCCTTGCCGGGGCATTCTCAGCATAAACAGGAGAGAAAGAGAATGCGTGCTTGCAGACCTGGCACATGAAGTATATCAATTAGAAAAGTACAAATATATATAAAAACATCCACAATAATTTATAAACAGTACTGAAAGAGGACTCTAATTCTGTAATAACAAATCAAGAACTGTTTTAATTTTGAGAAGCAAACCACCATCTGCTGAAATAGAAGCAGCAAGCCCCTTTCTTTGCTTGCAGTAGTGTCTTTCACAAACAATTTGTTAACTTGAGAAATACGAACTCATAATTTCACAGAACTAAAACCATGGATTTTCACATTTCCATTCCACATGCTCCTTCTCCTCTTCGCTTGAAGATAAGACTAAAAAGCAGCTTCGTTTGGCCTGAATCATTTATTTCATTCCTTTTATCAACAGAAGTCATGCACTTCATCTGTTTTATTAGAACTGTCATCCCTAAATTATGAACTTTCAACTTCAAAATTCCTACATATCTCTCGGGTCTACCACATCCTCGGGTCTACCACGTCCTCTTAGTCACAAACGATCAAATATATCTGATAAAATATAAACCCATTTCCCAGAAGCAATAATGAAAATCATTTTGCACGATAGGAAGATTAATTCAAAAAGATTCTTTGGTGGCTTCAAGAAAATAATGAACGTCAAAAATCCAAAATTAGACCACCTTCATTCAATTTTCAACGTTTGATACCAATCAATTGAACCCAAAACATTTCCAGTAAGACTCGCAAAATCCCCAAATTAACAAATTCAATCAATTACAAAGATACCTCGCATTGGCGAGCGTTGCTGTGATTCAGCCACTGGAGAAGACAATCCTGGTGCACAAACTTAATACTTCCGCTACAAGCACACGGATACCGTAAAGGATTCTCCGCATCTCCCGGGTTCCTACAGATCCGGCAAACATCCTCCTCCTCCTCATCGTCCTCATACTTCGATGCCGCTGCCGCTGCCGCTGCCGCCGCCGACGAAGCTCCGTTCCCCTCCCCTTTATCAAATACGCGATTCGATGCCGTAGAACTCGATGAAGATGATGTGGAGGATGGAGACGACGGTCTTAGGGTATCATTAGCGTCTACGTGATTCGATGGCGGTAGTAGTGGCGCCTTCCCAGAGGCGATCTCCATGAGAAAGTTTAGGTTTACGAGAGGAGGAGGGCAACGAATCGAAGCCGGGATTGACTCGGTGAGTTTAGGGAACGAATTGGGATTGCAAGCGGAAGTATAGATTGAAAAGCGTTTTTGAGATTTTAGTTTCTTTTTCTTTTTTTTTTCCGTTTGATTTTGCACACATGGCTCCGTCGGAGCATAAGGTTTTAATATTACGGTTGGCTTGTGATGATAACGAGGCGGTTGGTTGACACAAGACGATGGAAGACGTGGAACTCTGAGATTGGTGATTCACTAGAATAACTTGATAGGCCTGGTAACAATATCACTGATTAGTTTTTTTGATAAATAAAAGGATACGATTATATTGTTTGTACCGGTTCCGCAATTAGATTTGAATTTTTAAAATACAGAGAAAATCAAATTTTAATTCTAGTTTTGAGTAACATAATTTTTATAATAATTATTAGAGATTGAGCCAATTTTTTAAAAAATATTTTTAAAAAAAAAACTTAACAATTCATTAATAATGAATATAAATTGCATACATTGTAATATTTCTATAGAAATAAAAAATACAAATATAGAAATTTGAAATTTTTTGTTTGGAAATATTCTTGATTTTGGCAGAATATACTAATCTTTAGAGTAAAAACTGATCCATTCTCAAATATAACGATAAAAGAAACCTTTTACAATATTGATCCACACTTTATTTTTTCAGAAACTTATTATAGTTTAGACTCGCAGAAAAGTTTAATATACCAAATTTTAATGGATGAACAGGCTGTACTATCATACTCCATTGATAATAGAAACTTACTCAAATTTGAAGATATGAAATTTCCAACCACAAGCAATCAACAAACTATCTTATCTTTTGAATTGCCCAATAAATAAAATATCCACACAGAAACTCATCAATAAAAAGGAACAACCCCATGAAATGAGAGAAACTAATAACTCCACTAAAAGGGTACAAAAATACTAAAGATTTATCATCTAAAAGAGTATATCCAAATTATATTACAAAAGATCATAGGTTTGGAAATTATTAGAAGAAAACTAAACAAAATTCAGAAAAATGATAGAGAGAAACGAAAAGAAACTGTTGTCGATCAAAGAAAATGATCGGCAGTGGTTTAGAAATAAAATTTAGAAGAACACAAAAAAGAGAGTCGAAATAGAGACTGTTAGGGTGTTTTTCTTTTTAGGGTTTTTTTAGGATTGATTAACTTTTTAAGAATGTTAAACACTATAACTTTTAGCTTTTAATTAAATTTTTGTTGACAATCATATCTGTTTTTTTTTTCCAAATTCAGCTAATTAAACAACTAAAATCTTTTTTTGTCATTTTAAGTTAAACAGTTGTTTTTGGAATATTTTTAATTTAAACCGTTATACAAACAATTATCAACTAATAAAAGCTAATAGCTAATAGCTACTGCAACAGCAACAACTACTAAAAAATGCTCATATTGCCGTCCAAAATAGCTTCGTCTAGTGGTTGAAACACACTAAATCTCACCCTGGCAATCGCCGGATCAAATCATATGGAGTCGGATTTACCCTTTAACAAAAGGCTCAATAGCAAGCAAGGTAGCAAGATAATTAGAATACAAAATGAATTGGTTGGTTCGGTCGGACCAGATAATTTATGGCTTGTTATAGTTTTTAATTACAGATTTAGTGTATGAATTTTTAAAATTTTTTATTTTAGTATATGAAGAAATATTTACAACGTAAAATTTTAATTAAGTGTTTGATGCCTACGAGGCAAGCCGGAAGTATGATTAGGATGGTTTTGTCTACAACCATTAAAAATTAGTTTAATTGATGCGAATTCAAATAAAAACGCTAACTGAGTTCAACATCAAGTGATTTCATATGACTGACTTATTAACTGTGACTAAACTCCGAGGTGGATTAGGCGTCCCTGATAATAGGGTTCAGCCCTACCTCCTTCACTCCCCCCTCTCTCTCACCCTGTTGCACGAAACTTTAAAAATTGTTTATTGACACTCCAAAATCAAATTTAATATATAAACTTTAAATCTCAAAATAAGAATCCTAATTCCCAAATTGAGAATTTCTTCTTAGATAGAATCGCAGATCAAGACTCAATACTTAACTAAAAGTATGAACCAAAGTGAAAAAATAAGTATAAATGAATTTGATTGCATAAAAAGTATAAACAAATTTCTTCCTATATCAATATCTCTTATAATATTGAAAACTAAGTGTTTATAAGCTAAGAAACCCTAAAAACTAAATAAATATAAAGCACAATTTAAATAAGAACAATTATGTTAATTAAAACATAAAACTAAATAAAAGTCTCAAGGACCACATACTAGGATCATTGTTAATTAACTTTAGATCTTCTTTTAAGTCCATCCTTTCACTTGGGAACTTGTAGATCCTCATGTTTCATCATGTGCTTGTTGATTTTCCATTATTTTATCCAATAAACAAACAATAAAGTAGTTTTTTTTTTTTTTTTTTTTCAATAAACAAACAAAAGTAGTTTTTTTTTTTTTTTTTTTAGTGCTCACAGACCTTGAATTTGTTTTTTTTTTTTTTTTTTTGTAGTGTCACAGACCTTGAATTTTAAATGCAAACTTATGCATAAGACTTTGAAAATTGGTGTGTTTAAATGAAGATAAAAGAAAAAGGAAGTAACTCCAAATGGAACAGACATTTCTGCAAGGTGAAATAGTTTGCCGAGAATGGAGAAGAAACTTGTAAAGGCGATAATTGGAATGTGCTTAAAAGAAATACAGGTTCTATTTTAGGCCATGTTTCTCTAACTGGTTATGCCATTGCCAAGCAACAAAAAATTCTCTAATCTTCATGAACAAGAAATCTTTGGATAAAGAAACGACATGTCACTTGCAAGTCTCTCTTTTGCTTAAAGCCCATTTAGGTCCACTATATTTGAAGTTGCTTTAAACCCATTTATGGCCCCAAACAAAACCACACCCGCATTGTATATCAGATCATTAGCCGCACGTGTTTTGGCCCATATCCATTCCACAATTTTTTTTTTTAAATATATATATTTTACATGTCTTGTTATTATACCCTTATAAAAACATATTTATTAATTTATTAATCATCGATGGCCACCACTACCAATCAACGATGATTATTACAATTTATAAGTTTTCTCTAATATTTAACAATAAATTTTTAACTAATTTTTAATATCCGAGCAAATAAATTATAAAAATAATTTGTAATTTTGGATAATAAATAAAAACTCTTTATTTACATGGCACAAATTGTGCTCTGCATGATTAAAACACAAATTTTCAAACAATGATGGTTTCTTTTTCTAAACTGGTATAGATGAAAGACTAAAATGATCACTTTGAGAAAACAAAAAATAAAATCAGTTTCATAAGTATGAATTCAAAAGGAATTAATTAGAAGGAATATGAATAGTTTCTCCCACAGATATGATTAAAGAACATGGTGTTGTCAAATGACCACGAAGAGAATAGCAATTTAAAACTAATAAATTTTATTAAAAATCATATATGTGAAATAAAATAAATTGAAATCAACCCAACTAAGGAACATTTCTGCCTCTTTCGCCTCGCCGAAGTGTCGCCGCGGGTGCTGCTGCCGACAATTATTTCACTTAAATCAACTCTAGATCCATCTTAAGAGGGCCATATTATCAGAAATCTTTTGGAGAGAGCGGTAAGAGAGTCAGCCTAACTGGTGAAGGTTTTCGATCAGTGGTAGCCATGGTGGTGATGGACGCAATTTGAATTTGCAATTTTTGTTCAGTTTAAATAAATAAACAAAGGACAAAAGAAGGACAGGAGCAAGGTCCTAGAAAACATGCATAACGGCTTACAAAGCAATTTAAAAAAATGATAAAGAAAAAAAAAAAATACTTCCGTTCTATAATACTTGCCATATTTGTGATTTTAATTAATAATAAATATTTTTTTCATGTTTACCTTTTGTATATGATCAATAATTATTACTTCAATTTAATGATTTTCTTAGAAAATTATATTAAATTAAGGATAACATAGTCAATTTAATCAATAATTAATTGTAATTTAGACAAATTTAAAGATTTTTTTAAAAAAGATGAAATTTCAAATATAACAAGTATTATGGAATAAGATAGTAATGTTTAATAATGTTAGCAGGAGCTCATAAGAAGCTCGTTTACTTCAATCCAATGGCCATATATTTTTAACATCAAATATTATATCTTAACCGCCGATTCCTATCTACTACTAAAATTTAATTGGCAGTAGAAATTATAACCTCTCAAAGATATTTTTGACACATATTTAATTTCTCTCTTTAGACTGTCATGATCTATATATATTGACTTATCCTTTAAAAATATATAAAAAAAAAAAGGACGAAAGGAGTACATGGTATACCGGATTAAAAATATGGCAACGTGGGAGTATATTTTAAAAAATATAATTAAAGTAGTTATTGATAATTTTCCCTAAATTAATGAATATATTTTTGAATCTTACAAAAAAAGTGAGGGTATTGAATAAAATTATTTTTATAAAAATAACATGATATAAGAAAAAAGATTATTGATAAACTATAATTATAATTTTTAATAGTGATGTAAGAAAAATGTAACCTCTAGGAAATATTAAAACAACTTTGATTCTTTAAATAATCATACACAATAACATACATATCTTGATGGCATGCATGCAGTTAGGCAATGTTTAATAGCTTGAATAGGAATAAGAGTTGATGGGTTTGTAATAAGTATTACAATAAATCATGTAATAGCATTTCTTAGATTTCCCCTCTGAATTGCTATTATGGAGCTTAATTTTTTTTTTTTGTAAAATACATTTTTGCCCTTATGCTATATATCTATATATATATATATATAAAACCAATTCCAATAATTCTACTAAGGCACCACACCAAGTCAAGATTATTTAATAAAATATTAAATTTCATTTTTTTTTCATTTTTTCCATTATTCTTTATTTATATCGCCATATTAATCATATTATATATATCATTAATTTTCATTTTTTTTTTCATTTTTCCATATGCTTTATTTATATCGCCCATATATCATATTATATATATATATTATATTATATATATATATTATTATAAAGAATATTTCTTAAAAACAATATATAAACCGGGTCATTGCCACGGCCTTAGGTTATAATA